GGTAAACTGTGGTCAATGACATGTGACAATGTATATGTGAACTGCTGTATGGAAAGTGAATTTGCTCTGTAAATCTTCACCCAAATCAAAATAAAATAATAAAAACATAAAAAAAAGAAAAAAAAAGATTTACAGCTTTGGAAACCCTATTTTAAGAAAACAAACAAACAAAAATACTCACTGCCGTCTAGTTGGATCTAACTGATATTGATCCTTCCTTGGGTTTCCAAGGCAGTGTCACTATGGAAGCAGATTGCCCAACCTTCCTTCAGAGGAGTGGCTGGTGAGTTTGAACTGCCAGCCTTCTGGTGAGCAATCAAATGCCTTAGGCACTATGCCACCAGAGCTCCTGGAAACCCTATGGGGCAGTTCTATTCTGTCCTAAAGTGTCATTGTGAGTTATAATGGACTCAGTACCCCACTGGGTTTGGTTTTTTTTGGTACTGCTTATTGACTATGTTCTATAACTATGTATACTTTTACTTTTACAAAAATGGGATCACACAGCACATTGTTTTTCATGAGTTATTTTTGTCTTTTAAGACTATACCTGTCTTCTATCATATTTTTTGCTACAGCATCATTTTTAATGGTTAGATAATATTCCATTGTATAATCCACCAGTCTATGATAGTTTAGTTAAGCCTATCCCTTATGAAAATTTTGGTTGTTTTTAAATTTTTAAATATTCTGAACAAAACAGAAGTAAGCATCTTTGTAGCTACATGTTGCATATATCTACCCCCCCCAACTATGAATTTGTTGATGTGGAACTATTAAGTTCAACAGAATATGTACTTTAATGATTTTGATACATATTGTTAAAATGCCTTCCAGAAAGGTTGTACTCATTGAAGTTCACATCAACAGTGTTTTTGAAAATGCTTGTTAACCTTCATTCTTGCTAATTTAATAATCAAAAAAGAACTTGATGTTACATGATACATTTTATTCCTTGCATATACATATCAATATATGTGTGTGTGTGTGTGTGTGTATGTATATATATATACTTACATTTTTAAATAATTGCTTATTCATGCCCTTTATTTTATAAGTGCTCATTTATTATATGTAGGATATAATACTATGCTGTGTGTATAAAACACTTTCAGTAGTTTTTTGTTTGCCTTATAGCTTTGTGTACAATATATATGCATTTTTCTTTTTTTGGTACAGAAACTTACAACTTTCTTGAATGATTTTTCTTTTCTAAATATATGTAAAAATTCTCATTCTTTTATAGTTTAATATTTGACATTTAAATCTTTTATCTGGAATTATTTTGATACGTAATGTGCTGTAGGAATTTAATGTTGTTTTATTAAAATGGTCTTTGTTTCTACCTACTGCTTTCATTAGTGGCCCATCCTCTGCCATTGATTTGTAGTAGTTTCCCACCTTGAGACAACGGTCCAGTGCCTTTCTGACCTTCCCTTTGAATTAGTCAGTCATTAGGTATAGGTTGCCTTTGGGTCGGGGTTGTAACCTTGAATGAGGTCACAGCAGTTTCCAGAGAAGGAGTCAATTCAGAGCTTTACTGGATGTTGGAGGAATGACTGCCTCAGCCCTGAAGAGAGGTTTGTGTGACACACTGCTACCTCCATCACAGTTATATAGCTCTGTCTGGCTCTGCCAGTATCACATTATTTTAATTATCATAAATAAGAAGTTTTAGTATATGTCAGGACTTCCCTTCAGTTGCTCCTTTTCTTTGTCTGCTAGCTAAATTTTACACATTTGAGATTTTGATTGGAATTGTTTTATGTTTAGAATGTATTTGAGGGAATTCACTTTTGTACAAGAAGATACAAGGTTTCTGGGTGGTACATATGATTTGCTCATGGCTACTAACCCAAAAAGTCTGGTGATTTGCTCCCATAAAGGTTACAGCATAGGCTTTGGGGCAATTTTACTGTGTCATACAGGTTTGCTTTGAGTTGGAATTACCTACACAGTGTACGATAACAACAGCACTAGATAGCCTAAAGGTTGACAGTTTGAACCCATCCTGTGGTGATGCAGGAGAAAGGCCTGAAGATCTGTTTCCATAAAGACTCCAGCCAAGAAAACCCTATGGAGCCATCTACTCTGAAACACATGGGGTTGCCATGAGTCGAGATTGACTTGATGGCAGTGGATTTTGTTTTATTCAAGAAAACACAGTACCTATTTGTTTAAATCTTTTGTGTCCCTTAGTCAGGGTTTCATCGCTTTTTTAAATATAAGCTTCCATGTTTATGACCAGTTGGAGACTGACCAGTGAAGAATCTGTGTAGGGATTTTGAGCTCATTTTACTAGGTTTAAAGAGAGTTGAGACTATGGCACAGAAAGGGAAAATTTGATAATTGCCAAAATATTTTAAAAAATAGTTGAGTAAGGGAGGTTGTTGAGGATAATATTTTTTATTATCTCTCTCTCTCTCTCTCTCTTTTTTTAAAATAGGTAATCTTAGCCAGCTGGTATCGGATTTATACCAAAATAATGGACTTGATTGGGATTCAAACCAAGATATGTTGGACAGTTACCAGAGGAGAAGGACTCAGTCCTATTGAAAGCTGTGAAGGCAAGGTCCTTTCTGTGATCCTGTCCTGTTATCTGTTGCAGCATCCTTAGTAGTATTAAAGCCCAAATTTAGTGATATAAAACAGCAGTGATTTATTATGTCTATAAGTTCTGTGAGTTAGGAATTTGGAATGGAGACAGTGGGGATGATTTATCTCTCCATAGTGATGTCAGGGCCTCTGCTGTTAGAGCTTGAGTACTGAGCAGACTAGAATCAACTGGAGGCTTCCTCACTCACAAATCTGGCTCCTGGACTGGGATTACTTCAAGATTGGTCCCTGCTGCCAACTGGGATGCTTACATATGGCCTTTCCGTGTAAATTGGACTTTTTATAGTATGATATCCCAAAATAGGATTTTCACATGAAGGCTCAAGACTGCAAGAGCAATCATTCCAGTGTGCAAGCTGGAAACTGCGTGGCCTCTTATAACCTAGCCCCAGAAGTCACATCCTATCACTCTACCATATCCTCTCAAAGCAGTCTTAAACGCAGCCAGGCTCAAAGGCAGGGGGCATAGACCCCACATCTCAATAGGAGGAGTGTCAAATAATTTACAGACTTGTTTTAAAACCAAGCAACTAGTATCCTGTTCTTATCTATGTTCTGTAGTAGAGTTGTATTTTCATGTGGGAACCAGTGGTAACTTTTTCAAAATAAGGACATACTAATAAAAATTGCTAGATACATAAGTGAATTTATTGTTGGTAACTTATGTCTTGCTTATTTTTAAAGGATTGGGAGATCCTGCTTGCTTTTATGTGGCTGTAATTTTTATTTTAAATGGACTAATGATGGCATTATTCTTCATATATGGCACATACTTAAGGTAAGACTGTTCATTGAGAATGTTAGCATGTGTTTACAATGAGGCATAATACAATAGTAGAAATAGTGAGATCATCATTGATAAATGTATTCTGTTTTATAATTATCCTTCCTAAAAATACCTACTTATGGATGTAAAGTTATTACCTATTTGAATAATGTCACTGTTGGCAGGGCCAACCAAACTTAAAATAATTACAAGGCTTCAACAGAGCATTGGGGCACTATTTCATAAATTTTAAAGAATCATAGTTATTTGTACATAAACAATATGTGTTGTTTGCATAAAATACAAAGGAAAGGACCACTCACTGTCAGATGATATTAATGGCTCTTATGTAGCATAGTGCCTGAGGCATTTGACTGCTAACCAGAAGGCTGGTGTTTCAAACCCACCAGCCACTCCTCAAAAATAAGATTGGGCAATCTGCTTCCATAGTGATACTGCCTCGGAAACCCAAGGAGGGGATGCTATAAGTCAGATCCAACTTGACGGCAGTGAGTTAGACTTTACAAATGTTAAGATGGAAGTATAGTACTCTATACTTGAACCTATAGTTGAATCTGTGGATTCAACCAACCACAAATGAAAAATACTCAACAAAAAAAATTCCAGAAAGTAAAACTTGAATGTACTGCATGCTGAGCACTATGCTGAATCCACACGAATGAAATGATACGTAGGTATATCCTGCTTTCACAGATCCTCAGCCATCTCCAGTACAGTATCTGAGCATTGTTCTTCTCAAGTCTCTTTCATTCGCTACTTGTATGCACCCTTTGTTTCAGTGAAAAACTGGCTCCTAAAAAGCAAAGACCTAGAACAGTCCCTCAAAGGCTGACAGGGAGGGTAAAGTGCTATATGTGTAGCATTTACATTGTATTAGATATTACCAGTAATCTAGATATGAGTTAGTGCAAAAGGGAGTATGTGCTTAGGTTATATGCAAATCTGAAATGCAATTTTATATAAGCAACTTGGTGCAGGGGGTCCTGGCCCCAATCCCCTGTGGATACAGAGAAACGACTGTATATTCTATGCAGATATTTAATACAGTTGAGCAATATTAACAAAAACCTACAACCAAACGCACTGCCATCCAGTCAATTCTGACTCATGTCAATTTTGTAGAACAGAGTAGAACTGCCAAATAGGGTTCCAAGGCTGTAAATCTTTACTAAAGCAGGGGGACTTCTGGTAAGATGGAGGAATAGGCAGACAAGCGACACAGACCCTCTTCAACAAAGAAAAGAAAAACCAATTGACAGAGATACAGAAGATAATCCTGGAGCCCTGAGCT